TTTTTTTGTAATACTTTTTTTTTTTTAATTTTGATGGAATGTCGCGCGTGTTCATTGTGTTGAGCCACAAATGCATACAATTTTGATTAAAAATTTGTGTTATGAGTTGCAGGCAGCACTATTTGTGGCAGCATGTGAATGCAATTAACTGTAATAAACATGATACGCTTGACTTCAACTTAGCTATGAAGCCGAGTTTGCTGCTTAGGTCTTTTGTTACGGACAGGTTTATATGAAATGGAAGAGAAAATATATACAAGTATAATTTCTATTTAAGTTTTTTTATTTAAAATTGAATGATGTTATTCTAAATAAAGTTTAATTAAATAATTAAATAAATTAGTTTTTAATTTAAAAAAATAGCAATTCAAAAAAATTAAATTTTTTAAATTTGATATATATAAGTTAATTATTTATGTTAAAAACATTTGACTGAATTCCAAAACTTATTTTTAATTGAAAAAATTAATAAATTAAGTTGAAATTTAATTGTGTTTGAGTTCATTTAATTGGATTAATTTTTAGTTAACTAAGTTGAAATAACCTGGCTACGCTGGCGCCTATAATCGCGTAAACGGTGTCTACGTCAATTAAGAAGAGAAGAAGTAGTTGAAATAAATGAAATTTGTAATTAAGTGAACAGAACTTAATTTTTTAACAAATTAATTTTTACTTTATTATATTATTTTATTAATTTAATTTAGGTTAATTAATATGATTTATTTTAAGTAATTTTAATGAATTTAATTTACGCATTTAAATTCATATTAATTATTTAAATAGATTTAACTTAATTTAAAAAAATTATTACAATTATAAAATTAATTTTTAATTGAAAAAATTAATAACACTTAAGGGTTTTTGGAGTACGAATGGGATTTAAATGCTGGAAAAAAAGTTGGTATATAAGCTTTGAGCTGAATAGAGCATTGTTTTTTTGTATTATAGTGTATTTGACAGTTCATTTAATTAGATTAGTTTATAGTTAACTAAGTTGAAAGAAATTAAATTTGATTAAAGAGAAATGAGCGTAATTTTTTAACTAATTAATTTTTACTTTATTATTTTATTTTATTTAT